TGTATTGCTTAGTATATTCTTCCCAGCTTATATCGGTTAGGACTTGGTTTACTTGGTCCCACTTTATGTTTTTTGTTATTTAAGTTGAAATTTTGGGGAATGCTCCCTTTGTGACTATCTCAATTTGGGCGGTCCCGGGGGGTCTGCGCATACATGTCTGAACCTCATTATGTTGTGATCTGAGTATATTGTTTTTGATATGGTGACATTTCTTATCAATCATCATTGTTAGTGAAGATAAGGTCAGTGTATTTCCATTCTAGTAGGCTCTATTATTGCTGGTTTAATTGAAATTTTTGTGCAGAGATTTAAAAGCTCGTGTGAGTGTGAGTTTTTTATCATAGCTGCCTCCTGGTGTTATTACTGCAACAATATTATTTGCTATATTCCTCCATTTTAGGTGCCTTTAAATTGAAATCCCCCAGGGGCAAGATTTTGGGTGCAGGAAACTGGAAGATTTTCCAGACAGTGGTCAATTTTTAACAGCTGTTCCTGGAATTGCTGGATGTTGCATCCGGAGGCTTGTAGACTACCCAATGACTAGTTTGGTTCTCGACCTTTACTGCTAAAACTTCCACTACATCATTTGAGGCATTAAGCAGTTCTGTCAAACAATGACCTGCAATGTACAGGCCAACCCCCCTCCCCCTTTTGCCTGTTCACTCGCCAATCTGTATAGGTTGTAACCTGGGATCCCTATTTCGTTGTCCCAAGTGATCCTTTATGTGGGTTTCGTGAAAGCCGGAACATTGCCCTTTTCCTCTGCAAGCAGTCCACGGATGAAAGGTATTTGTTGTTTGTTGCTGGCTTTAGACCCTGTATATTTTGCAAAGAAGAATGTCATCGGGCTGGTGGTATTGTTGGTACTGGGGGGGGGTTTTTTTTTCCCGGGATTAGTATCGTATCTGTTGGTTTGGAGTGGAGGCCATCGACTGTGGTTCCACTCCAGGAATGACTGGATTTGGTGTACAATTTCTGTCATTTCCTGCCAGTTTTTTTTTCCTTCCTGGCACTAAAAAACCTCTCCCTCTTGAGTGGCTGTGGCTACCCAGGTTTTCCCATGGCCTGGATGTTTTGTATCTTTTTGTCCCCTTTAGATGGTGTGCCTGGCAATTTAAGTTAGAGCACAGTCTTTCCTGTACTGAAGAGGTACACATTTCAAGGTGAAAAAGCTTACAGGAAGGGAATTTGCATTTTCCTGTTGTCATATGGGCACGGCATTTTCTAGGGTGGTCATAGTTGCATGTCCCATCTGTTTTTCCAGATTTCCCATGTCTGCAGATACCAAGTGCATAGTATGTGCAGTAGAGATGTGAAGACAATGTAATCGGTCCATCACCCTTGAAGTCGTAGATTTGAGGTTGTCAGTCACTCTGTCAGACAGTGCAACACAATGGCATCTTGGTACAGAAGAGAAAACACCTTGGGCAACTTTTCCAAGTGAGAATTGTTTGATCTGAGAGGGACATGACCTCCCAGTGGCTACATTCTCACTACTACTACTCTGCACCTCTCCTTCCGACAGTATTTAAGTCTCAACACTCAACACTCATCATACCCTTGCTGCTAAGTGCCCTCTACGAAAAGAAGTACTCATCCAGAAAATAAAGAACGACATTAAGAAGACAACTGTTCATTCCCCAACTTATGCAGCTGCTGCAAAGCTCCAGACAACCCCTATCGAGATCCTACAAGAAACTCAACAACAGCCACCTCCTCCCCATTACCTGAAGACATCTCCACCAAAATTCATTACTGCATGATGTTTGCTCACATGCACAACGCAGCACACCCTGGCTCCTTCAACAAGACCATCAACAACCTCTTCACAATGAACTCCATGCCGTCCTTAAACTTCCCTGAATGTCCTCCTTCTTCCGACATTTTGAATATCATCCCTAAAATCGTTAGCTCCGCTGCTCCCGACGACATTTCAGGACTTGCTTCTCGAAGATGCCCAAGATTCGCGCACTGAATCCACCAATGCAGCACTCACATTCCTTCCACACCAAGAGGAAGCTGCCTTGACTTCCAGCACTAAAACCTCCTGAAGCATCAGCTCCACCTTCGCCACAACCACGATCAAAATAAGCAAGCCTCGACACAACCACCTTTACGTATTGAGTCACCTCAACCTGCAGAAGAGGAACAACCGATCAGATCCACTGGCCCTCTCACCATTTACACAAGTAACCCACTACTCATATCACCGGTTGCCGCCCTGGTAGTCTATCAGATCAAACATGGGACTATGAAATATACCGTTGCCCCTGGATGTGACCAACAAACTGTAACCGACTTACTAGAAGACCTTGGCACCGACAAATCTCATACAATCGAGTGTACTCTCCTATCAAAACCTGCATTCCGGCGACTTCAAAGTGGATCCAAGACCGGGCGCTAGGACAAGCAAAAACCCGCATATCTCAACGTAGATGCCACCTCTCCAACTCACCAGTTATCATCGTTGCCTACCTCGTCCTGTGACTAACTACTGCTACAAGACCAACGCGACTGAGACTCTCTGTTCCTGTTCTCAAGTCTGTCCTACGATCGCCTTTGCTGCTGGGTCAAGCCCTGGCTCTATTTCTACGACTAAGAACATTCCTCTCCAGCACTATTCTTCGTCTGTCCCGTCTTCCCAGCTCATCCCATTGGGATTTTATCTGCACTTGTTCGTTCGTTCGCTTGATCTTCAGTTAGTTCCACACTTTAGAACAGAACTTCTCCAGGCTGAGGAACTGACAACCTCAAATCTACGACTTCAAGGGTGATAGACTGATTACATCGTCTTCACATCTCTACTGCTCCTGCCTACTTTCTGTACTCGACTGAAGAAGCCTACTGTGTAGGCGAAAGGTTCCGGAATAAAGTTGCCTAAATGTTGCCTGTGAAGACGATGTAATCAGTCCATCACCCTTGAAGTCGTAGATTTGAGGTTGTCAGTCCCTCAGCCTGGAGAAGTTCTGTTCTAAAGTCTGGAACTAACTGAAGATCAAGCGACAGTGTTGAGACAACTGCTCAAGAAGAAATTTCTCACCTAGCTGGTAGTAACAAGTTATCACAAGTTATATACACTGATGGATCTAAACAGGAGTCTTCTGGCAGGGATGCATCTGCTCTTGTTGCCACCTCCCTAGTTAAGAACGATAATAAATTTGTTGAGTTAGGCATAAGAATTAACAACTGGGCGTCTACACTGCAAACTGAATTGTTTGCAATCCTAATGGCGCTAAAGCTAACCTATGACACTGAGCTTGACTCTATCATCATTACTGATTCTATGTCATCATTGAAGGCTCTTGGCTCATATAATGACTCCAACAACATGCTCATTGGGGAAGCCAGGTATAGATACTCAAAAATTAGGGACAAAGGAATTAATGTACAATTGCTATGGATCCCATCACACATTGGATTACTCCTTCATGATAAAGTTGATATGTTAGCCAAGAAGAGTATCCAGAAGGAGAATGTAGAATATAACTTTGGTATAACTGTGTCTAGCATTAGGAATAATATTAGGAGAGAAGTAAATAATGAAAATGATTGTTATAGGAATGCAGTTAGAAGCCTGAGTAGATCTATAACCCACTATGATAACATGAACGTAGATAAGTATGTTTATGGAGCAACTTGCAATGTGAACAGACTGACTAATGTTGTAGTGGCCAGGCTTAGGCTTGGTTACAAGTACTTCTGGCAGTTTGGGAGACACACAGATGATGATCAAACTAAATGTAAATTATGTGATCAGGCATATGGTCACTCTCTTGAACACTATGTGCTTAATTGTCCACTTATTGAGGAATACAGAGACAGAGTATAATAACCTATGTGACATGTCAAGATATCTTATTAATGAAAATAAGATACCAGATATACTAAGCAAATTTCCTAAATTTGCTTGTAACAGATTCTCACTACAGGCAGCACACTCCACCAATATTCAATACACTAAACCTACTCACCATACAAAACATCCATACTTATTACTGCACCTATTACATACATAGAACACTTAACTCTGATATTAACCCTCCCCTCAAACATCTCCTTGCCAACCTCAACAGAACACATGACCATAACACAAGGCACAGATCACTCTTTGATGTTCCTCGTGTCCATCTCACACTATGCAAAAACTCAATGCACATAAAAGGCCCTAAAATCTGGAATTCATTACCTGTAAATATAAAAGAAACACAACCTGTTTATAAATTCAAGTCTCTTCTCAAAGATTACTTACTCACCCAAAACCAAATAATACTGAATAACTGAACATTATAAATTGTATATCTTAAATGTTTCTCACAATTATATCACATAAATGTTAAACCTAAAACCCAATCTAACTTTATTATTTTTTAAATACACTACCTAACAGAATCACTACCTAACTGAATGCAACCATATGACCTGTCTTTGTAATACTCACTTGTGCTTTATAGTTATCTGTTTACATTAATGTTTTATCACTGATTTCATCATTGCTTAGTAGCAGCGCTGTATAGTCCTTGTGGCTTAGCGCTTCTTTTTGATTATAATAATAATAATAATCATTGCTTAGTTAATCTTAAGTTAATTTTAAGCCAGCCCGTAATGCTATGCATAGTATAAGTGGCTTTGGCATACTGCTCTTATCTGTATTTTTTTTGTACCTCTGTATGTGTGCACAAATTGGAAATAAATAAAAAATAAATAAATAAATAGATATGTAGATATAAATCCATATGTATTCCTGTTAACCCTTTGGGCCTAGTTCCTAGGCCTTTTGTGTATCCATATGCTCTCGCGCTACCGTCCACAGGATGGATATGGGGTGCACAATAAACTAGCCACTTCGGTGGCAAAATCTAAATCTAATCTGTTGAGACTTAAATACTAGGGCTTGGCGAGTGGGTCCTCCTGATCTAATTAGGAACTTTTGGTTCCTGTTTCTATATACAAAGGAACTCTTGTTCCTTTTTCTTTCATCGCCCAGCTTTGGGCAACAAATCTTCCCCGTACATCGGGAAGTCGGGTTCGATACTGCGTAAGCTGTCAGTGGCCTGATAAACCCTAAAAACAAACGCTATACCACGTGGACTTCTGCATGGCCTTAAGTAGCAGATAAGTTTAGGTACAGGTACACCTAAGTACAATTATCATACGTAGTTTAACATATATGTAAATTACCTAGGATAACCCAAAGAAGTCAAAGTGACCCCACTGGAAATAAATCAGACTTTTTTTTGAGTCATCCTAGGTAATTTACGATATGTAGATAATTGTACCTATGTTTATATAGGTAAGTTTATTCAGGTATAGACACATATAAATACACTTACATAAACTATCATACATAGCAGCATATGTGTAGATTATGAAAAGCAGGGGTGTCACTAGCACGTTAAGAGACCATACAATAAGTGTCAGGGGACCGAGACTGTTCAACTGCCTCCCAGCACACATAAGGGGGATTACCAACAGACCCCTGGCAGTCTTCAAGCTGGCACTGGACAAGCACCTAAAGTCAGTTCCTGATCAGCCGGGCTGTGGCTCGTACGTTGGTTTGCGTGCAGCCAGCAGCAACAGCCTGGTTGATCAGGCGCTGATCCACCAGGAGGCCTGGTCACAGACCGGGCCGCGGGGGCGTTGACCCCCGAAACTCTCTCCAGGTAAACTCCAGGTAAACTAAGAGTCAAAGTGACTTATTGCCATTAGGGTCTTTGCAATAACTTAATAGTATTATAATTATATTACTCTAATTGCTTTGGTTCTCAGCCTTGACAAACTTGGCAGCAAGATATTCTGGACACTGTTTGCGAGCAATTTTATGAACGTGATTTAACTTCAGTTGTTTTTCAACACTGAGCATATTCAGTTGTAATTCATTCTGGCATACATGCTCGCTTGGACTCAGGTTCAGGATGAATCTCGACATTTTCTTCTGGATGATTTGTAGTCTATCTTTCTGTTTTTTTTTTTTTTTTTTTTTTTTTTTTGTTAGGCAGAGTAGGTAGGTTGTGCTTGTCTGTAGAGGAACTTTAGTCTGGCACTCGCCTTCTTTACTACAATATTCCCTATCAATTCTCCTGACATGTATGGTCAAATGGGATTCTCAGATATTTCACTGAGGAAACTGAGTGATGGGTTCCCTATTAAACTGGACATTAAAATTATTTACCCGTTTAATTAATTCGTGTTTTTCGTGGCAAAGAGTATGGCATCCATTTTCCCGAGGTGTAACAATAATTTGTTGTCTAACTATTTGCTGCAAGACTCTAGTTCTAGTGGTAGTACATTAGCTATATCTTATGGGTCTTTACCTGACACTAACAGCACTGTCATCTGCATACAATAGAAGCTTACATTTGACACTGATGGGCATGTTTTTCACATAATATAGGAACAGTAAGGAACCCATAATACTACCTTGGGGAACCCCACATGCTATCAGCATGGGTTCATATTCTGTGTCATTGATCCTTATCTTCCTTCCATTGGAATGTGAACATCAAAGGTGTCGTAAGGGGGGGGGGCTGCCCCGGGGATGACACCATAGGGGATGACACCATAGAGCCTCTAAAGAAGGTAACACTAATGACCAAAACCATGCTGCAGCAACCTAAGAAAAAAAAATCTTCGTTTTTATATAGCCTATTATAGGATTACATAGTACAAATAGGCCTATATAGGGAAAATCATTGATTTTGATGATGTGATAGATGATTTTGCAGGATTGAAGGCAAGGAAATGAAATATCAGATTCTTTGAGATGTAACCTGTACTCCAGGTTAAATCGGAACTAGTGTTTTTCTTTATTTTTCAAGTGTTTTTTTTCATTGTTGAAGATGAATAACTGTAGGATCTGTTGCCTGTACTCAGAGTGGTATTTGAGTTTGTTTCCTCAATATTACTACGATTATTTATTTTAGCATTAATAAAGTTCGGTTTATGGCCTTTAAATGTTCTCATTGCTAAACATTAGTCACTGGTCATGCACTAGTGATGTAACTGGAGTTTACTACCCCCATCCCCCCGCCCTTGGATTTCATGGGGGTGACACCAAAGATGCCGCCCTGGGTGACATCATCCCTCTGGTGAACATCTCATTTTCATCTGAGCATTGCTGACACATTTCCCTCATTCTTTTGCATTACTATGTATAATAATTGCTATCATTTAAATTTGTGTAACTTGTGTTCCTGTACCTAAACAAACCAACACTTTCCCAGCATCATTCAAAATAACAAGGATTACACCAATACACAAAGGTGGTGACCCAACAGGTGTAAACAATTATAGGCCAGTGTCAAACTTGCCTTTACTTTCCAAAATCTTTGAGAAGTTCATAAACAAAAGGTTATACTCCATTATAACATCACAAAGCATCCTCAACCCCTGCCAATTTGGCTTCAGGAGAAACCAAAGCACAAATGATGCAATAATAAAAATGCTAGACCTACTTTACACAGCACTTGAAAAAACAAATACGTACTCACTTGGACTCTTTATCGACCTTAAGAAAGCTTTTGATACAGTAGCCCACAGCATCCTACAGAACACTCAATCATAATACAAGATACAAATCACGCTTTGATATCCCTCATGTCCATCTATCCCTATGCAAAAATGCAATGCACATAAAGGGACCCAAGATCTGGAATTCATTGCCAGAGAACACTGAAGGGGGCGTCAATTTAAGGCTCAACTTAAAAATCACCTGCTCACCCAAAATTAACCAGACTAACCATACTCAAATATTATAAGTCTCCTCAACTCGAACTTAATTCACCTCCACTACTATATATTGTGCTAACGATTACTCAACCATAAATTCATTACTTCTAAATTAAATGCTTAAATTCTTTACATTAAATATATATTACTGAAATATTAATTCCATTTAATTGTTCTAAATTATACTAAATTGTAATAATCTCATATTATAAGTTGTTTTTTTAAATTGTCCCATTATAACACACATTGTAATACACCCATATTGTAAATTGATTCCACTCGTACCATTATTTTTAATAATGTCCATGTAATTATCTCTTATTGCTTGTTATTGTAAATTGTTTTTAAACTGCTCCATTGAGACACTACCATATTATAAATTAACCCAAACTATACCACTATTTGTAATTATGTAAGTTTTATAAGTTAAATTTAAAACTGCAATTACTGTACTCAGATATCCAATACCCAAATAAAAATCTGTTATTACCTTCCTAACCTTAAGTTAATATTAAGTTTGCCTGCAATGCTCTGCATACAAAGGGGCTTTTGGCATGTACACCCAACTATTATATTCTTTTGTACAATTATGTATCATGTCAAAATAAAAATTATTATTATTATTATTGTCATTAACAATCTTCCAAGCGTGTGACAACAGCTTACGCCTATTCTCTTTGCTGACAACATGACTTATGTCATCTCCCACCCTAATCTAGCCTTACAAGGAGCTCACAAAAATATCAACCTGGATGACTGTCAATAAACTTACACTTAATATAAACAAAACCTTTTACATTATGTTTGGGAGTAGAGCATGCAAGGTCCAACCAAACATTATGCTTAACAACATCCTTATTGCTAAACATAATGAGGGAAAATTCCTGGGCCTGCACCTTGACTGCAACCTGAAATTCAATACCCATATCCAACACATAACAAAAAAGTATCTAGAACAATTGGCATCCTCTCAAAGATATGTTACTATGTACTACCACAAACAGCACTACTTACACTATACTATTCACTGACCTACCCCTACCTCACCTATGCTATCTGTGCCTGGAGTTTCACAGTGACAAATCACCTAAAGCCAATAATAGCCTAACAAAAAACTGCAGTGCGAATGATCACACAATCCACAGCTAGCCTCCACCCCCACTTTTCAAAGACCTAAACCTACTTGCAATACATTCACCCGTATTTCTGTGTATCCTACAATTACAGAACAGTCAATTCTAATATAAATCCCGACCTGAAGCACTTTCTTCACAGTTGCAATAGGACCCATAGAAACAATACTTGACACAAAAATCTCTGACATTCCCCATGTCAGGCTAAATCTTTTCAAAAACTCAATGTACATAAAAGTGCCCAAAATCTGGAACTCTGCCAGAAATCTCCAGAACCATTGGCTTGGCTAGCATTTTTAAAACTACAGTTAGAAAACAGTCTATCTCTTTAATCTCTCCCAGCCCATCATAAATATATGTGTAAAAACTATACTACATGCATTTGTTCAATATCATGAATGTAGGTAAAACATTATAATCAATATATACTTATTCTCAATATCTGTAATCCTCTCAAATGTTAATTATTCCATTGTGTCCACCTTAGGTTAATAATCAAAACTGTAATTCTTCTCTACCAAACTTATTAAGGCCATATAGCAAGAACTAATAGAATATTCAGTTCTCTTGTATTCATTGTAACTGCCTAATGACCTTATGTACAAAATTACTGCACTGTTATTGCCTCACTAATCTTAAACTAGTTTTAAATTTGCTCGAAATGCTCTGCATATAAAGGGGCTTTTGACATGTTCACCCAATTGTTATACTCCTTTCTACAATTATGTATCATGCTGAAATAAAATTATTATTATTATTATTATTATTATTATTATTATTATTGTTTTTTACACTAATGTTTTTGTGTCTGAATTCATGTTATAAAACTCATTACAATTATGAGTAGAAAAACAAACATTTAAATATTTAGATAAGTTTATTTAGGTAACAGTAACACTTAAGTACAGTTAGACACATTTAGGTGATAGCAGTTATTGCGAATAATAGTGTGTAAATCACCTGTGATAACCCAAAAGTTAAAGAAACTTATTTCTATTCTGGTTCTTGTAATATATTTTTAGTTACCTAGCTATTTTTTTTTTTTATTTTGTTCACTGTCAGTCCTCCTGACATGCTTGGGTCAAGGGAATTCCCAGATATTTCACTGCAGGTATGAGTTCCCCATTGCAGTGGACATTAAAAGTATTGGTTTACATATACCCTTTACAATTTACTTTTCATGCCAGAGTATGGCCTCTGCTTTCCTTAGGTGTAACTTGCTTAGCTAGGAAAACTTTGGTTCCCAGTTCCTGGATCCATTATGGGCCTCTGTAATCTCACTACTGTCCACAGGATGGGTGTGGGGTGCATAATAAAGCTATTAAGTTAAGCTAACTCTTGCATGCTTGTCCTCATCTTATTCTGCCTTCTAGACACAGTGAAGGAGGAGCACCATTCAGTAGCTCCACTTTTCCGCTCTATGGATATTTCACAATTTTGGTGGAAAGCTAGTTACTGAACTTACGTTCTCTTGGGCCCAAGTCCAGGAAAAATCTCACCATCTTGTGGGTAATTTGTAGTCTCTTTAGATTGTTTTTCTATAATTACTCTTATTATTTTGTTTGTAATAAACTTGAATCAGAAATACCTTGTTCCTATCCTTTGCTGTTATATTACCTTAATAAATAGGTGAAGGAAATATATGCTTAAAGATTTTCATTGTATATTTCTATTAACCTAGAACCAATGACCATATCATATATATAAATTTAACTTTGAATAATTTTTCCACTTCACAGTATTCGTTATTCGCACTAATCGGTATCTAGCTGGATTTGCATAAAGGAACACTGCTGTAGACCTACTGGCCCATACTAAGCAGGTACTAATCACACCCAACCATTGTATGACATAAGAACTAAGACACTGTAGCAGCTATGCCATACTACGTAGGTTTTTCTCACTATTTGTCCACCCTATTCCTAAATCTACCCAGGAATCTAGCTTCAATACCTCAGGAACTAATCAAATCCAACCCTTCACTCATTTTTCTAACCAATATTTGGAGATATTTGCAGATTGTTCACTCATAGACAAGTTCACATTGCTCACATCATCTCCTCACTCATCCTCTTCTATTCACCTCTCTCATTCTCTCTAACTATTCATTTCTCTCAATTTTCACTCATTCTCATTCTCTCATTCTTCTCTCATTCTCTCTCTCATTCTCTCTCTCATTCTCTCTCTCCATTCTCTCTCTCATTCTCTCTCTCATTCTTCTCTCATTCTTTCTCATTCTTCTCTCATTCTCTCTCTCATTCTCTCTCTCATTCTCTCTCTCATTCTCTCTCTCATTCTCTCTCTTCTCTTCATCTCTCTACTCTTCCTTCTCCTCATCTCCTCTTCTCTCTCTCTCTCTTCTCTCTCTCTCTCTCTCTCTCTCTCTCCTCTCTCTCTCTCTCTCTCTCTCTCTCTCTCTCTCTCTCTCTCTCTCTCTCTCTCTCATACTCATTTTTTTTTTTACACAGGGTTTGACAAGGTTAAGTATCCCTAGCTTTATTGACAGCTATTTACTGGTTAAGGATTCCTAACTTTATTGGCAAGCTAAGAGCTGTTACCTACATCAGCTCATTTGAAAGCATTTTTATTATTATGAGACATACAAGTAGGGAACAAGATGAAGTTGTGGGCGAGCATTTTCATTTGATCAACTGACTTTATCTCGTTGACATCATTATGCTGTACGAATGTGTTCCATACTCGAATCATCCTGGGTATATATGATCTCAGATGGATTGATGTTCTGGAGAAGGGTACAACCAGAGTGAAGTTGCTGCTTTCTGCCCGTCTTGTGGCATAGAAGCTTGTTTCATGTGAGATACGGCGAAGTGCTGTAAGCTTCTTGGCTGCCTTGTTTGCTAGATTTACAACATGGTTCTTCGTGGTAAGTTTGGAGTCAAATTTCACCCCAAGGACACACACACACACACACACACACACACACACACACACACACACACACACACACACACACACACACACACACACACACACACACACACACACACACACACACACCTACCTACCTACCTACCTACCTACCTACCTACCTACCTCCTGAAGCGCACATCAACCAAATAACTGCTGCAGCATATGGGCGCCTAGTAAACCTCAGAACAGCATTCCGACATCTTAATAAGGAATCATTCAGGACCCTGTACACCGTGTATGTTAGGCCCATATTGGAGTATGCGGCACCAGTTTGGAACCCACACCTAGCCAAGCACGTGAAGAAACTAAAGTGCAAAGGTTTGCAACAAGACTAGTCCCAGAGCTAAGAGGTATGTCCTACGAGGAGAGGTTAAGGGAAATCAACCTGACGACACTGGAGGACAGGAGAGATAGGGGGGACATGATAACGACATACAAAATACTGAGAGGAATTGACAAGGTGGACAAAGACAGGATGTTCCAGAGATTGGACACAGTAACAAGGGGACACAGTTGGAAGCTGAAAACACAGATGAATCACAGGGATGTTAGGAAGTATTTCTTCAGCCACAGAGTAGTCAGTAAGTGGAATAGTTTGGGAAGCGATGTAGTGGAGGCAGGATCCATACATAGCTTTAAGCAGAGGTATGATAAAGCTCACGGCTCACGGAGAGTGACCTAGTAGCGATCAGTGAAGAGGCGGGGCCAGGAGCTCGGACTCGACCCCCGCAACCTCAACTAGGTGAGTACAACTAGGTGAGTACACACACACACACACACACACACACACACACAGCAAACCTCAGAACAGCATTCCGACATCTTAATAAGGAATCATTCAGGACCCTGTACACCGTGTATGTTAGGCCCATATTGGAGTATGCGGCACCAGTTTGGAACCCACACCTAGCCAAGCACGTGAAGAAACTAGAGAAAGTGCAAAGGTTTGCAACAAGACTAGTCCCAGAGCTAAGAGGTATGTCCTACGAGGAGAGGTTAAGGGAAATCAACCTGACGACACTGGAGGACAGGAGAGATAGGGGGGACATGATAACGACATACAAAATACTGAGAGGAATTGACAAGGTGGACAAAGACAGGATGTTCCAGAGATTGGACACAGTAACAAGGGGACACAGTTGGAAGCTGAAGACACAGATGAATCACAGGGATGTTAGGAAGTATTTCTTCAGCCACAGAGTAGTCAGTAAGTGGAATAGTTTGGGAAGCGATGTAGTGGAGGCAGGATCCATACATAGCTTTAAGCAGAGGTATGATAAAGCTCACGGCTCAGGGGGAGTGACCTAGTAGCGATCAGTGAAGAAGCGGGGCCAGGAGCTCGGACTCGACCCCTGCAACCTCAACTAGGTGAGTACAACTAGTGAGTAGGTGAGTACAAAACACACACACACACACACACACACACACACACACACACACACACACACACACACACACACACACACACACACACACACACACACACACACACACACCCATAGTTCCTTACCAGGTCTCACACTTCCCCAACCCCAATATACTTCCCAGACCACAGTCTTAGAAAAGAAGTTGAAGGTGTGGTATACAAATGCAGATGGAATAACAAACAAGTATGAGGAGTGGCACGAAAGAATCAAAGAGACATCCCCAGACATAATAGCACTCACAGAAACAAAACTCACCAGAATAATAACAGATTCAATCTTTCCATCCGGATATCAAATCTTCAGGAAAGACAGAGGGAGGAGAGGGGGAGGAGGAGTTGCACTGCTCATTAAAAACCAGTGGGGTTTTGAGAAAATGGAAGGAATGGATGGCATGGGCGAAAGGGACTACTTAGTAGGAACAATCCAGTCTGAGGGACATAAGGTGATAATTGCAGTAATGTACAACCCACCACAGAACTGCAGGAGGCCAAGAGAAGAATACGATGAGAGCAACAGAGCATTGATCAACACACTAGCCGAGGTGGCCAGGAGAGCACACATGGGGGGAGCAAAGTTACTAGTTATGGGTGATTTCAATCACAAGGAGAATTGACTGGGAAACCTGGAGCCCCATGGGGTCCCGAAACATGGAGAGCCAAGATGATGGATGTGGTACTGGAGAACCTCATGCATCAACATGTTAGAGACACTACCAGAGAGAGAGGAGAGGATAAAACCAGCAAGGTTGGACCTTGTATTCACCATGAGTAGTTCGGACATCGAGGTATCATGTATGAAAGGCCCCTGGGAGCTAGTGATCATGTGGTTCTGTGCTTCGACTACATAGTTGAGCTCCAAGTGGAGAGAGTAGCAGGAATAGGCTGGGAAAAACCAAACTACAAAAGGGGGAACTACTCAGGCATGGGGAACTTCCTTCAAGACATTCAGGGGGAGAGGGAACTGACAGGAAAACCAGTACAAGAAATGATGGACTATGTAGCAACAAAATGCAAGGAGGCAGAGGAGAGGTTTGTTTCCAAGGGAAACAGAAATAATGGGAAGAACAGAACAGTCCTTGGTTCACCCAAAGGTGTAGGGAGGCAAAAACTGGGTGTACTAGAGAATGGAAAAGGTACAGAAGAAGAGAACTCAGGAAAATAAAGAAATCAGCCGAAGAGCCAGAAACGAATATGCACAGATAAGAAGGGAGGCTCAGAGACAATATGAAAATGACATAGCATCAAAAGTAAAGACTGACCTGAAGCTGTTGTACAGCCACATCAGGAGGAAAACAACAGTCAAGGACCAGGTAATCAGACTGAGGAAGGGTGATGGGGAATTCACAAGAAACGACCGAGAGGTATGTCAGGAGCTCAACACAAGATTTAAAGAGGTATTTACAGTGGAAACCAGTAGGACTCCAAGAAATCAGAACAGGGGGGCACACCAGCAAGTGCTGGATGAGGTACATATAACCAAGGAGGAGGTGAAGAAGTTGCTATGCGAACTTGACACCTCAAAGGCGGTGGGACCAGACAACATCTCTCCATGGTCCTTAAAGAGGGAGCAGAGATATTGTGTGAGCCATTAACAAAGATCTTCAACACATCATTTGAAACTGGGCAACTCCCTGAGGTATGGAAAATGGCAAATGTAGTCCCAATTTTTAAAAAGGGAGACAGACATGAGGCACTAACTACAGACCTGTATCTCTAACGTGTATAGTATGCAAGGTCATGGAGAAGATCATCAGGAGGAGTGGTGGGGGCACCTGGAAAGAAACAAGTGTATAATTGACAACCAGCAGGGTTTCAGGAAGGAAAATCCTGTGTCACAAACCTACTAGAGTTTTATGACAAGGTGACAGAAGTAAGACAAGAGAGAGGGGGGTGGATCGACTGCGTATTTTTGGACTGCAAGAAGGCTTTCGACACAGTTCCTCACAAGAGGTTACTGCAAAAGCTAGAGGACCAGGCACACAAAACAGGAAAGGCACTGCAATGGATCAGAGAATATCTGACAGGGAGGAAACAACGAGTCATGGTACGCGACGAGGGTGTCAGAGTGGGCGCCTGTGACAAGCGGGGTTCCACAGGGTCAGTCCTGGGAAACCTGTGCTGTTCTTGGTATACGTGAACGACATAACGGAAGGGATAAGACTCAGAAGTGTCCTTGTTTGCAGACGATGTTTGAAGTTAATGAGAAGAATCGAATCGGACGAGGATCAGGCAGGACTACAAAGAGATCTGGACGGGCTACAAGCCTGGTCCAGCAACTGGCTCCTTGAATTTAAAACCCTGCCAAATGCAAAGTCATGAAGATTGGGGAAGGGCAAAGAAGACCGCAGACACAATATAGTTTTAGATGGCCAAAGACTGCAAACCTCACTAAAGGAAAAAGATCTGGGGGTGAGTATAAACACGAGCATATCTCCTGAGGCGCACATCAATCAGATAACTGCTGC